CTCCCGGTGTTCAAACTCGTGTCCATCACCACGGACGGAGCACCTGGGATGGTTGGCCACTCGAATGGATTCATTGCTAAGTGTAGGGAGGATGATGCTTTCCCGGACTTCCTCAGTTACCACTGCATAATACACCAACAAGCGTTATGTGCTAAAACGCTCAACATGAAAGAGATAATGGATGTGGCAACGAAGATCGCCTGTTCTGTTCGCGCCAGACCTCTTCAAAGACGACTGTTCCGTGCACATCTGGAGAAGGGTGACTGTGACCACTTTGAGTTGTTGTTACACACTGATGTGAGATGGCTCAGGTGAGGGAAATTCCTGGAAAGATTTTGAGAGCTCTGTCCAGAGATTAAGGAGTTTTTACTTGTAGCCAAACATGCAGAGTACAGACAATTAAATGATGACCAGTGGCTGCTAGACTTGGCTTTTTTAACGATCTGACCAACATGTTGAATGACCTTAACATAGAGCTGCAGGGAAAAGACAAAACTGTGATCAATATGATCAGTTCAGTTAATGCTTTCAAACGAAAGATGCAACATCTGCCCTCAAAGTTGCACCGTCATGATTTGACAAACTTCCAGAATGTTGCATCAGAGCTGGAGATGCAGGGGAAGACAAGTGAGCAGCTTGACAGTGCATGGTACACAGAGCAGATTGAGAACTGTCTGTCAGAGTTTGACAGACGCTTTCAAGACTTTGCTTTGCTACAGTTGCTACAGTTGCTACTTTCATGTGCTACCCTTTTTGGGAAGATGCTGAGGTGGATTCATTTGCATCAAAAATTGCAACGATGTTTCACCTGAACTCATCTGGTGTGGAGAATGAAATTTTGACTCTACAAGCTGACATTGAGCTGAAGTCCAGGGCCCATGGACAGTTCTGGAACTTGCTAGCAGAGGGAAAATACCCCAACATGAGGAAATGTGCTACCTCCCTGACTGCATTATTCGGTTCCACCTAATTATCCGAATCAGCCTTTTCCCACATGAAGATTATTAAGTCCAAATACCGTTCTTCAATGACTGATGCTCATCTGGAAGCGTGTTTGAAGCTGGCTATCAGCAGCTACTGTCCGGACTATGCAGCCTTGGCTGATGCCGTTCAGTGGAGGTCATCAGAGTAAGGTAAGAACAAACAATGTACAGAGTTGTATTGAGTAATGTGGTTCATGCAGTTATGCAAGACACACCAATATGTATTGTAGATGAAATTCAAATTCAATTAAAAATACTTTGTTTATCCTAAAAGGGGAAAAAAGAAAGAAAGAAGATACAATATTAATTAAATAATAACTTAAATAATGATAGTTTAGAATAAAAAAAATATGTTCTGCATTTTTATTGTAGGTAGATCTTTTAGACTCGGTCATCTTAAAAGTAGCTCGCAAGCTGAAAAAGTGTGGGCACCCCTGATCTATACAATGTGTTTCACATAGTTATAAATTTCCTAAAATAAATGGATTTTTCAATAATATCCTAACTTATTGAATGGGTCTGTACAATTTACAATCAATATGATGAAATATAATATAAACTTTTAACCAACAGCGTTCCTCTCTATAAATACAGAAAATTAGAAGATTGAGGGATGGGAATAAAATCTATAAAAATAAATATTTTGCATACTGTTTTTATGAGGATGAATTGCATCAACATCAACATGGTTGCTACAGATGATTCCATTTCTTAATGTTGCTGCTTTTTTATCATTGTTTGCCTGTTTCTTGCAGTTTTGTGCCTGTTGATTTGTCTCGACTTGTTCTTTGTCAAACTGTTCCTCTGCAAGATGTCACAGTCACAGAAAAGTAACCAGGGTGCTAATGGAGACGTCTCACATTCAGATGCTCTCAGATTACACAAACCCTCATCTAATGTTCTGCACAGAGACACAAACAGCCACATTTACTCTCTGCACCTCCACATAAACACTTTAACATGCACATGTTTGGGAAAGTGTGAAAGAAAGCGAGCATACGCACAAATAAAACATGAAATATCAACATGAAATAGCATGCAGAGTTAAACTACCAGAAATGCCTCATGTCAGTTTTGCTCCAGAAAAAAAATCTGTTGACATGGACGTTAGTCAACAGAGGAATATTTTATGCATGAAAAAGTACGGATCTGTGCACCAATCTGGAAGAATCTTAAGCCAAATGTAGAAAAATCCCTTTTGATCCCCAAACACGGCTTCTTTTACAGACTTCCAGACAGCGCTTATCCAGAACCATGTCTGACATTTCCCAACATTTGGCTCTATCTTTAAGCACACAGGGACACATTTTTTATATTTGGTGCAGGAAGTCCTCACCAATCCTTCATGATGTAACAGGAAGTGACAATAACTCGGATTTGGGCCAACTTTTAAAACTTTCCAGGATTTCTTCAACATCTTGTGGCTTCAACTGTCCTGAAGCTACTACTAGCGATAGGTTTTATATATATATATATATATATATATATTCACACAATTTCATTGTAAAGTTGTGATTTTGTTTTTTTTAAGGGCAAAAAGAAAAAAATAAAGTGCTCTTGGGGTCCCCCTGGTGGCCGCGGCAGGTAACGCTTCTCCGGTAATATTAGCTGCCGTTAAATGTCCGGTGCTCATCCTCTAAAACTCCGGTGGAAGATAAGTGAGTGAGCAAAACAATGTCGAGAATAGAAAGAGGAGAAACAGAAAAACTTTAAAGGTTTGTTTTTATGTGTCTTGGTAATTTAATGTTTATCAAAAAGATTGTGGAGCTGCTAATATAAAATTAGCTTAATAGCGACCTTGAAAAGAACTGGAGTTCAACAGCCAAACATTTGCGCTAGCCTCTTTGTATTTGTGTGAAACTGAGTTTTAACTTTAAATGGGTTGATTCTTATGATTGGCCCTAAATATTTCTGAGTTTTTTTGTTTTGTTTTGTGTTTTTTTGCTTCATAACGTTTGATAACAAGAATTAAAACTTCTTAATGTTTGACATTATCTAGCAAAATGTTTTTACATCAGGCTACATGGCTACTTTATTAATATATCAGCGAGCTACTCTATACTGTAGTTGGTGATATGTTGTTTGCTGCTGATAATTTAAAGCAAACATTATTTTTACATCAGCAGAATGTGAAACTTCTCCAGAGCTGTTAAAATGATTTGGAGGCTCAGAATCAGCCCGGTACCGGTCCACAGACTAATCTAATATAAATCACATTTTTAATTGGTGTAATTACACCTAAGAGAAATTAATTTAATGTAAGTATGTATGTATTCCATATAGCAATGCACTGATTGCAGTTTTCTGGCCGATCGCCGATCTTTAAAAAGCTTGACCTGCCTTCCAATTTTGAATGATGCTGTTTTTTGTCTGATTTGTCACTAAGTAAAGCCAGAAAGTCGCTCAGTTGGCAACAGGGGGGTGAATATTGTGTTAACTGCAAACACACAGACATGACCTGGTGGGGCGGTCTGCCTCTCACTGCAGAGCAGAGGAGGACGCAGGCAACTCTTTGTTGCGGTAGATAAATCGGCTTCACATGTAAGTATCGGCCGATTACCGATCTCCCAAAATTCAAGAAATCGGCGCTGATACAGAGGACATAAAGAGGGTATATCCTCACGTTTAGACCGGTGTAATCTCCAGCATCACACTGTGTGACAGCAGCTTCACATCCAGACAATGAATACAGATTCTAAGAAGACAAACTTAATAGAGTAAGTTCTTTAATCCTTAAAACCTCAGAAAGTTCAAAAAGATTTGATTGAGACTAGAGTTTATTCTGAAGATTATCCTTTTGGCTGTTTTCTTTTTTTCTTGGTTCTGTTTAAACTCCAAGAATGAGTGAAATGAGTAAACAGAACCTTCTCCCAGCGCCAGAGTCCTGAGCTCTGCTGGCTCCCCGGTCCGTTACCGTCCTGGTCGCAGCTGACGCACGCCACCCGGCTGACATTAGCCGTGTTTAGCTTTGCCGCGCTGCCCACTCTTTTAACTCTATATCTGCGCGTTGGCTGCGGCACAAAGAGCGCGGCAGCATGCCGAAAAAGTGTCCTGTAAGCTGGGATGCAACAGAGCGCGGCAGCCGGCCAAGAGTTGGCCAAGAAAAGCAAAACACACAGGAGGGATTCAGTCAAGTGCTCATTTAAATATGAGTGAGCAACAGACTGTGGAATTTGAATAAGATTATAAAAGGAAGACCGAGTGGGATGAATTTCAGCTTTCAGAGCATTACATGTTTTGCCTTTCGTGTGTGTGTGTGTGTGTGTGTGTGTGTGTGTGTGTGTGTCTTCATTTCACCCTGCAGCCTCCCAGAGGTGAGATAATGACTCCCAACAATGAGCAGGAGGGAGGAAATTGGCAGCCCGTCTACACAGAACGCTTCTTATGGCACGGCTGCTCCTCCCCACCAATTTAACTGAACACACACACACACACACACACACACCAAACACAGGTGAACACACACACACTTGGATCTGGGTTAGCAGAGCGTTGCATCTAAGTGCATCTATCCTGCAGCGTCCACTGCAGTGCTGCGCATTGCACCTCATTGATTAAACGTACAGACATCATCAACATGCATGAACTGTGCGCGCATTGTGTGTGTGTGTGTGCGTGTGTGTGTGTGTGTGTGTGTGTGCGTGTGTGTGTGTGTTTAGGTAGCCTTTGGGGATCTGTTTATAAATCTTCAAAGCCAGGATCAGCAGCAGGTTGAGTGAAGACACTGAAGGAGGGAGAGTGAGGCAGATGGAGAAGAAACGGTGATGGGGAGGGATCCAAAAAAAACACAGCATGGCGGGTGGGAGAGCAGATAGAGAGAGGGGAGTGTGTGTGCGTGTGTGTGTGTGTGTGTGTGTGTGTGGAGGGGAGATCCATGCAGTAAGGCAGAAGTTTCAGCTCTGCGCTCCACACACAGCCAGGACGGAGGACAGAAAGCACTAACAGGTGAGCCGCCTCCTCCTCTTCCTCGTCCTCTTCATCGTTCTGTGTGCAGAAGTTGTTCGGGTTCAGGTGTGAACGTTGACGCGCTGAAGTTTTGGATCAGATCAGACATGGGAGTGTGCAGGAATGCAGCATTTCTCTGATTTAAGAAGTGAAGGAGGAGATGTTCCAGATTTCTGCCGTTGTGTTCCTGATGCTTTTCTTCAGTCCTTTGTGAGCGCTGGCACAAAAGCATAATGCTGGCTGAGGATTGAGCAGTCGTGCTGCGTCGGAGCAGCATGCATTATTTATCCGCACCGATCTCCAGAAGCAGCGATGCCCCTCCGGGGGCAGCGGGGCTTCGTACACACTGCCGCGTCCTCACAGTGTCAATATCTGGGATGATTGTTGAAGTGATGAAGTGTTGTGTGAGTGGAGAGCAGACAGACATCTCTTACATTTCCTCCTCTTGTTTGTGGAAAACCTTTGCCCCGAGAGTTCTGTGTGTCAGGATCAGACATCATATGGATTATTAATCGTCATGCATGCGGGAGACATCAGAGAATCCCTGTGAGTGATCCTGAGGTGCAGAGATGTCCCTTATCTCCAGGCGGGAGTTCCTCTCCTTTTGTCTGCAGATCCAGTATCTGAACCCAGATCAGTGTTAGCGCCGCGCTCCGTTCAGGCAGCGCAGTCATCGTGTCAGCACATTACACATTTGTAAGCACATGTGCTTGTGTTATTAACAGCATCTGTAGGAGTGTGTGGGCGCGCGGATGTGTGTAGGTGTGTGCGCGGCGTGTGTGTGTGTGTGTGTGTGTGTGTGTGTGTGCATCCAGCTGCTTCTGAAGCCATTCCTTACTGAGGGCTGCTGGCAGCTGCTCATGCCATGAGGGCAAACAAAGACACCAAGATTTATGAGACACAAAACACACGCACACACACACACGCAGACACCTACACACACACACGCGCGCACATACACACAGCATAGATGTAATAAACTTATATTCAGCACCTGAGAGCACAAGATGTGATTCTGAATAATCCAGACGAAAACACCTGCAGCAGAAGTAGATTTTTTTCATATAATATGTGATAGAATAGAAATATGTTTTATATTCAGATATTCAGGTGTACCATCAGTAAATGGAAGCATGAAGATAAACAAAAACATAAAAAAATATGCAGCTTTGGAAAATCTGAAGAGTCCACTGCACTGAACGCCTTTGAAAACCTGTTATTCCACCAAATGTTGATTCCTGATCTCTTCCTGAGTTAAAATGTTTTTAATGTTGTTTCTAAATATATATAAACTTGTTTTCTTTGCATTATTTGAGCACTGCTTCTTTTTTGTTATTTAACCATTTCTCATTTTCTGCAAATAAATGCTAAATGTTTGCTTGGAATTTCAGAGACATGTTGACAGTAGTTCATAAAAGAACAATGTTCATTTTACTCAAAACATAGAAATGTAAAATCAGTTTGCAGTGGCCTCTTAATATTTTCCAGAGCTTTATATATTTCATATAGGATGTATATGTATAAGGGTTCAAAATGAAAAAATACACAATCTTGTTTCTATTAGAGTCTAAAATAGTTTAGATTTAACTGAATATGCTGAAAGACTGAAGAAGCTGCAGGTGAAACGCTGATCCCTCAGGCTGCTTCCATGGAGCATCATGACCTCCATCAAACCTGTGATGGAGGTTTGAAAGTAGCAGCAGATGCTTTCAGTCAAATTCACTGTTTAACGCGTCAACAGCAAATAAAACCACCTGTATAAATACGCATGGTTTGGCTCGTTGCTTCCCAAGTCAGAAAAACTTGACCTTTGAGAAGCAATGAGAAAATCAATCTGGGAAGGGTTATGAGGGCATTTCTAAACAATTAAATGTTCATCATTCAAAGAAGTTTGAAACTCAGCACGGCGCTGAGGGAGTGATGCTTTGGGCTTTTAGCCACAGGACCAGCCCTCTTCTCTGTCACTGAGTCGACCTTAAACTACCAAAGTGTTCCAGCGTCCATTATGTGAGTCCAATTTCTCCCTCCATGGTCATTAGCTGGGAAATGATCCAGAAAAACAGCAGCACCTCTACAAAAATGAGGTAAAACTGAAATAATAAAGGTGATGACTGTCAAGTTCAGCCACCAACCTTAGAGAAATTCTGACCTGCGGCTTTCAGACAATAGAAGCAAACAACAAAACAACGTTGGAAGAAACAGTGAGCCAAACTGTTTCCACTTCAGATCAGATTGTTTTGAAACTGATTGTTTCTTTATAACTAAACATGTTTTTTTCTGACAAACAACCCAAACAGAGTGAATGGTGTAAAATACATTCACTTGGGAAAGTTTTAATTATGGAACGAATCGCTGCTTCATGGTCAGCCATGAAACGAGGGCATGGTGAAGAGACGTGAACACGCGAAAAAATCTGCATAATCCGGCGCAGACATAAAAGTAGCAGAAACGTCTGATCAAAAGAAAGACGGGGCTTTGTTCTAAAAAAAGAAGTCAAGCTTTAACTTTATTTTTGTATCCAGCTGCTTGAACAAGAGACCCTAAGAAAGCGACTCCATAACCAGCAACAGACACAGTTTAACTCCCTACTTAAACTGTTGGTTCAATGAAAAAACAACATAAACAGTGAAGATTGTTGGACTTCTGGATATGTCCAAATCATGTTGATACTTAAAAGCTCTAATATAGACACTGAGATGTTGAACGCAATCATAGAAATGTGTTTTCTTTACAAAAACTGATTATTTGACACATTGTCAAAATGAGAAAAAACTGTTTTCCTCACTATAAACAGAAACAGGTCTAATAAGAGAAACTTCTGCTGATTATCTCCCAATATCTGCACAGCAGATTCTGTTAAAATGTTCTTTAATCAAAAGTTTCACACTCAGCATGAAGGATTTTGTGAGCAGTGCTTCCTGGCCCTCTGCACTGCAGCAGTTTGTCTTTTTCAGATTTGTCCTCCAACATGTCTGCAGGAAAACGTACATAATGCCATATGTGTCACCATATTTGCTTTGCCGAGTTTGTTTGTGAGCAAAAGTGTGTTTTGCCAAGCTTTTAGCCACCATAGGAGCTCTGATATCTGCACCAGCATCATCTATTGAACAAAGTGACCTGGATGCTGCTGTGCCGAACCGAAAACCAGCAGAAATTCTGCCCTGTTCAGGGATTTTTCACGTCTGTTTGCAGTTCTACCACAAAAAAATATGCTGTGCTGAGCACAGCAGGAGGAGCAGCTAAATGTGTCATGAAGGGTTTAAACGTAACATTTATTCAACGTCAAGAGGTTCTTCATGAGCATCCAATAATCTGAACAGCTGGTGTGATGGAGGGCTTCGTCTGCTGCTGCTGCACAACTTTCTGAAGTTTCGGACAATAAGTCGTGTTTAACCAGCTTCCTGCAGCAACAGTTACTCTGGCAACATGCTCCAAATAAAGCTGAATGTGGATTTTTTATTTTATTTTTTTCGCAAAGATGCTTTTGCTGATGTCAAGCACAGCTCTGCAAACAGCAAACGGAGCACTCAAAGCAGTTCGCTCCGAGCTTTCCGAGCCTGAAAGCTCAAAGTGGATCCCACACAGGACAAAAAAAGCAGACCGAAACCAGAATGAGATTATTGACCAGCCTCAGGAAAGCACATATTTAAACAGGAGGCAGCGGGAGTGTGAGCATGAAGTGCGATGTGAGAAGTGGATGATGGGAACACAAGTTGGATTATTTTAAACTTCACACCTTGAGGTTTGGATCAGTGAGAGTAAACCTTGAGCAGAAAGAGATGGCTGTGCTACAGCGGAGGACGCTTTGAGCTGCACACTGTCACCATCTGATAATCCCTCGGTGCTACACTAATCTGGCTCCTGCAACATCCTGAAGATAACACACACTGTTTCCTGAAACTAAACGTCTTCCTCCAATGTTACAGGAAAAGAAATCCTGTGGTTTTCTTTTGCTGGGTCATCGACATGGACCAGAGCGTTCTGCTGCCTTTCTAGCACATTATGCAAATAAGAACAAAAAGAAACAAATCCAGCAACGAACCAGCAGGCAAAACTCCCAGATTCAAGTATGGATAGCAGCAGATAAGTTTTAGTGAAGTTTTAGGGTTCATTCACACCAGTCCTGTTTAGTTCGCTTTAGTCCAACTCCAGTCCGTTTGCCTAGAAGGTCCGGTTTTTTGGAAGGTGTGAATGCATAATGGAACTCTGGTTCGTCTACAAACCTCGGTTTGGTTCGGTTGAAGTGAACTCTGGTACGGTTCGAATGCATATGTGAACACAAAGCGGACTGGTGTTCACACTTCCAGCTCTAAAAACAGGAAGTGCTTTTGGATTCTGGGTAAATACAACCAAAACATACGTGTTAGCTTAGCGTTAGCGGTAGAAATGCCTTGTGGTCTTTTACCAAAGACAAAAGAGAAATCAGGTAGATTAAGTTTGATTGGCGAAAGATATTGCAACATTGTTACATTTTCAGCTGTTTTTACAAACCAACCAAACCCTTTGAGTAGCCTGTTCCCCTCCTGGCCTGTGGAGGCGCTGTAACAAGAACCACTGAAGGAAACAACACAGAAACCTCTGAAGACACTGAGCTCAACTTCCTTCTTCTTGAGATATAAACAAAAATGGAGTTGCGTCAGATTTTAGCAGTTGTATAATTTCTCTTTTGTTTTGGTAAAAAATAAGAAATTTCTACTGCTCAGTCATTTCTATTGCTTAGCTAATGTGTTTGTTTTGTTTGCATTTACCCAGAATGCCCTGCAGTGTAGTTACACTGCTGCTTTAGACGCATTCGCACCAGAGTTGACTTGAACTGAACCGAGACCCAGGCGGATCAGAGTTCGATTTCACATTCACATCTCCCAAACGGACCGGCCTATCTGGGCAAACGGACTGGAGTTGGATTAAACCGGGCTGGTGTCAGAGCTCTCATTTCATTCATCGATGTTGCAAAGCCAGAAGGAGAAGAAGCAGAGGATAGCAGAGAGTCGGTGTCCTGCCAGCAAACACAGCAGGGTTTGATCCATCCCTAACAGACGGGACACGGCGAGGCAGCAGACTGGACTCCCTGACTGCCGCTCTGGCTCATTACGAGTGTGATTACAACCACCAAACACACACCAGTCATGTAAGAGGCAGTGCAGGATGGAAATGCAAACACATGGCTGAAGAAAGAGACAAAAAATACACCTTTAATTCACTCCTGATTCAGGATTATATTTGTCTGACATCTGATTATTATCTGGCTTTCTAAAAATTCAAATAAATAACTAAGACGGAAAAACACATGTTGATGTGAGACCATTCGGCCCAGTTCAGAGAATCCAGTTACCCAGTGGTTTTTAAGATAAATCCACCTAAAAATGTTGGATTTTAAACATATTCTGAACTGATATATTCTGATCTGCAGTCTATATCAGGTTTATATTTCATACAGTGTGTTGAACGGTCAGAGTGAGACAAGTGCACTGAAGCAGCGTGGCTCTCCAGAGACTGAAAGCAAACTGAAAGACCTTGAAAGACAGAAAGAAACGAGTGAAAGCCTGAGAGAGATGCCAGCAGCTCTGCAAGGATCTTTGCTTTGAATTACATGATAGCACTGAGAATACCAACAATCCTTTCATGCAGATGATGTAGCCATAGCTTCCAGCAAACAGTTAGGGTGCATTCACACCAGCTCTGTTCAGCTCGCTGTAATCAAACTCTGGTTCATTTGTCTAGAAAGTTCAGTTCTTTTGGGAAGGTGAGTCAAACTCTGGTCTGCCTACAAACTTCAGTCTCTGTTCGGTTAAAGTGAAATCTGGTGTTTCAATGCATGTGTGAGTGCTAAGGGGTCTGTAGACCGCGGACTGCAACACAGGGCATTCTGGGTAAATACAACCAAAACAAACATGCTAGTGGGAGAAATAACTCCTGATCTTTTACCAAAGACAAAGAAGGACTCATACAACCGCTAAAGTCTGACACCATTTCATTTTTGTTGACATTTTGTGAAGAAGGAAGTTGTGCTCAGTGTCTTCAGAGGTTTTTGTGTTGTTTCCTTCTGAGGTTCTTGATGCAGCGCCCCCACAGGCCAGGAGGGGAGCAGGTTTCCAAAAGGTTCGGATCGTTTGACTAAGTGCAGAGAGGAAGAGAACAACAGCAGCTGAAAATGTAACAAATCTTGCAATTTTGTTTCTCAATTGAGCCGAGTCTATTTCACCATCAGGTGTGAAAACAGCCTTAGAAAACCTGATTCTGCTCCAGGTTGAGTTTGATGAAAACAACAGTTTGAATGCGGATTTGGATTCATGGAAGTGGGTCTCTATTGTTTGCTCCGGCTGTAAGTCCTGGCGTCTTGTGTTTCATGTTTTTTTTTGTTTGTATTCCCGTCGCTGCGTTGCTGCCATGCATGCGGTCCCCAGGCAGGTCCTGGTGTCTGCAGCTGTCAGACGGTGACATGCTGAGGATGGAGGACAAGAAGCAGCCGAGAGAGGGATTAATGAGCGGGACAGCAGCAGCGGGGTCTGTCACTGCGCCTTCAGATAACCGCTCCCCCAGCTGCCTTTCTCTCCTGTCCCAAGAGGCCGGCTGCAGCTTGTTGCTGCACATCTGGGGTGGAAATGCTCAGTAGCCTCTGCAGATCTGCTCCGTTTGTTTCCTCTTTGTGCGTTTGGAGAGGAAGGAGGAGACGCAACGATACATGGTGTCAGACCTCAAAGTGATTTAAAAAAAAGCTAAATTCAGAGGAAGAAAACAGGAACAGGAAGTGTTTGTGAAACTCATGTCCTCAGGTTTGACTCCCAAAAGCTGCAGGGAGACGGTAGAAAACCAGTAGGGACAGGTACACTGCAAAAACACAAAATCCTAAAAAGGTATTTTTGTCTTTCTAGAGCAAATTTATTATCAAACTTGAAAATGGAACAAAACATTTTGTTTCCCAAACAAAAAATGGGAAACGAAATGGCCAAGCGAAATAAGATAAAATGTCTTATTTCACTTAGAATCTGTATTTTTACAGGTATTAAGAAATAATATAATTATAACAGGAACCTAAGTTACTTGTAAGTTAGTTTTGTCTTATTTTAAGTGTACTAAGACATTTGGACTAGAAACTAGTCAGTACCAATACTTGGTAAAGATTTTGTGTTTTGTAGTGTATGAGAACCCTAAGAAAAATACTTGATACGTAATGTGCACGGTATTACGTGTCAGGCAACCTAGTGCCATTTAATATCACAATCAAGTAATTATGTTAACTTCAGTTGTTATAAACGATTCTGTAAATATCAAACTTTGCTATTTAGCAATTTGAAATTTTGTCTTTGTCTCTTTAAGCAGCTCCTGCTCTTTTTGACACTGTGCCTTCAGCATGTAATCACAGCAATGCTTCTCAGTGAGCCGCTTGCAACAGTGAGCGTACGACTGATAGGTGGTTTCTATAATCAACTCATTAGACCCACAGTTCCACCAGATGTCTGCTAATTGCTGCTGCCACTAGTCTAGAGGAGCTGAGGCGGAGGAGATTTGTGGAAAGCAAAGTCGTGAGATTCAAGGATTCCTCAAACACGCAAGAAAAATATCAAAACAATCAAAGGTATGATTTTGATGAAGGGATGAAATTATAACATGATGTGTTTTACATAAAGGCCCCATTTAATATCTCCAAAAGCCTCCATATTTGCTTAATCTTCAGGAAATTTGTTTGAATTTCATGTAGAATTTATTCAGCACAGATTCCAAATTATTTCTGCTCTGCTTATATAAATGGGAGTTATTCTTTGTAACAGAAATCTTCACTCCATAAACAGCTCAGAGTTTAATTATTCAACCTGCGGATCCCAGGCTTCACATCCTTATGTCACCTTTAAGGTTTCTCGTCCTGATAATGAAGCTTCACACTCGGCTGCACGCTTTGATGACCAGCCTCAGTCCAAGTGCCTGTTCTCATTTTGACTTTCAGTCCAGAGGAGAGGGGCTTCACATGCGCCCTCCCTCAGATCACTGCACCCGGATTTTTATCTCCCAGCAGGCCGCTGTCCGACGGCGGCGGCTTCAGAACATCAGTCACACTCCGCAGCGTTCAAACACACACGGGCAGCCTCCATCGTTATGGAAACAATAAACTACAGGGATTTTTCTATCGGGAAATGTGAGCCGAAGCATGTCGGAGCAAACCAAACTGAATTAAGTTAAAATGTTTTTTCACTTGAAATCAGCCACTTAACACTGATCTGAGAAAACATATTGATTTCTTTGCATTCTTTTCTTCATAAATGTTTCATTGGACAGACCTGAAAGGTCACTGATGCTCTTAATATGTGCATCACACAGAGGCTGAACGTGATGAAATGCAGCTACGCACTGAAAAAAAACACAAAGTATTTTCAGTCTGTTTTACAGTACAAATGTCTTAGTGCACTTAAAATAAAAAATAACTTACAAATCACTGTTTAGCAAGAACACAAGATGAGTGTGAAACAGGATTTTCCATATGAATGTGACAAATAGGATTGTTATAACAACAAATAAATAAATAACAGGATAATTGTTATTGCAATAAAAATGTCATTTTGAGACCATTTTAAAGAAGAACAATGGTTATGGCATAATCATAATAATAATGCAAGAACAAATTCTCAAAGAAAGGGAGAAAAACAATAAATTATGCACATGGAAATTATTGAACTCATTTTAATTTATCATATGATTAATTGATTTATTGCAACATTCCTAATAATCACTCGTGAAAAATAAAAGCCATAAAATTTCTGCTAAAGTTAGTGAGGAGCTTTTTGTTTTGGCAGGTAAAATCCCATAATATGCTGTTTCATTTCACAAAGAGCCACAGACCCTCCTGAGGCTCAACGCGACTCCAATTACCTACTAAGAGCATGAATTATTGACATCTTTGTTTGCAGCAGACACTTTGGGAAATAATGTTCGGTTTGATTTCTCTTTGGGTTTTTCTCGTCTCCAGTTTGTGTACAACCTGTCTGCCTCCTCATGGTCCCGTCTAAAAGAGCAGCTCAGAGCGAAGGCGCCCACCGATCTGCCACACATCCCAACCTAAAGTCACCAAGCAGAGGCGTGGGTGTGATTAATTAAAGAATGTCCTCTGTGAGCTCTTTTCTTTGACCTCGTTTGAAAATGTCAGGCACACAAAAGACAGCTGGAAACAAAAGAGCAGAACTTTGAATTTTCACTAAATGTGAAAATTCAAACCCTAACCCCTTACCCTAAGAAAATAAATACGTTATTATTCAGAGCAAGTTAAGAGCTGCTTAGAGCCTCCACACCACCAGGGGGCCCTCAAGAGCAAAAGCTAGCATGATAAATTAAAAAATATAAATTCAAAATATATATTACACACGGAAAAGCGAAATTTTTGTAATTGGTACTCGAATAATACATTAATCTCTTCCTGCTATTGGCCGCTGGCGCCATTATAGAAATGTAAAATATAAAATTTGTGAACTTGGTTTCTGCAAATTTTATTTTTATCAGCTGATGTTAATTTTAAAATAATTGAAATAATGTGGCACAGTTGCATATCACTCTCAAAATCCAATTTTTTTTTTTGTTTGCTACTCCTGTAAGTTTAAATTCAGTAGCCATAATAACATGATGTAAGTTAAATACAAATGCTAACTATAGCAGATATGTTACACATTTACAGTAGCTCAGGGTCGATATGTTGGTATTGGGGCCCTGAAATTAAAATACGCTTAGGGCCCCAAAAAGAGTTGGACCGGCCCTGTTGGCTTTAATTGTTCAGATTCCACCCATACAGCTTCCAATAACTTGCAAAAGGTTTTATTACATTAGGATAAATCTTCAGCATCATCCTATTTGGTATCATGAACCGTTTTCTCTAGTTACTGTTGCTATCACAACAGTTTCCAATTACTATATAAAAAAAAAATCAAGGTCAGATGAGAAACATCTGAAATACGTCCTGGAATAAACAAGCAGATAAAACAGAGTCTGAGGCAGAGAGGAGAGGAAGGCTGCAGGAGAGCAGAGCACCGACTTCTCTTGTCAGTTTCTACAAATTCCTGCTACCTGAGCAGATTTCACTTTACCGCACAAGAAGACGACAAAGAAACAAGTTCCTCAGCTTCCTGTCGGCCCTCTTCCAGGCAGCTGCCTGATAATTCAATGTTATGCAACCAAGATTTCTGTCTGTTAAACTACAATTCAGAAATGATGAACTGTAAGAGCTTACAGAAATATAAAACTCAATGATTCTCTAAACTGGGAAAATAAATGAAAATGTGCAGAGAAGCATTGATCTCGTCTACGGATGCATCCAGTAGTTAATATCCTGATGCATATTGCAAAAAATGATTTTCCTAAATGTGGAACAGAATATGCAAACTGTTGCCGTCTCCAGTTGATTTGCGGCTTTAATTAAAAAACATCCCACTCTGCTAGGAACTCTGCATGAGTTTTATGAAAGCATATTTATAACGAGATGCAGACAGAATCACAGACCTCTGAGCATTTCTCTGGAATCTTTAAAATTTTCCAACACAAAGTGAAAGGGAAGAATTATTTTGCATAGCAAAATGTTTTTTACAAACTTTCCACTTGGACAAACAAACATTTTTGCTTATTTGTCAGATTATATGGAACTTGTCAGCAATGAACAATTTTCACATCAAATTAGGGACTTTGACTAGACCATTCTAAAATATGAAAGTTCTGTATTACAGATTTTTAGGTTTCTTTACTGTCTGAACTTTGTAACATGGCACCAAAACACTTAATCCGTAGGTCAGACTATAAGTTTTAAAAAAAGAGTTGATGGCAAAGAACAAACTACCAGTGAAGTAAATAATCTACAGATGGATTTATCCGTTTATCGATTATTTTTAACCACTAAATGTTACATTGGAAAAATAAAGTCTTATCAAGTGTTTTGTTCTAGCTTCTAGTGCAAATATCTTAGTGCAGCTGAATGAGGCAAAACTAATTATAACTTTCCAAGAAACAGAAGCTTGCATAATGTAACTAAAGCCAATTAATTTAATATTGATTTTAAGAAAAGTTGATATACTGGCAGATTATTTCACTCGTACTCTGCATAATCTGCCAGTAAGACTTTTGTATAAATATTAAGAAATTATTGACTAAGAATAAGCTCCTCTATCTTCCTGAAATGTTACTTATTAGTTAGTTTTGTCTTATTTCAAGTGTGCTAAGATATTTGCACTAGAAACTAAACCAACAATACTTGGTAAGATTTTGTGTTTTTGCAGTGTGGAGAAGCTCCAGCAATTAATATTTCTGCTGACTGAAATGATTCAAAGACAACCTCAGCGCTTCACGCAGAGTCTGATCAGCAGTGATTATTTTCCTCTGGATCAAACCCGCCTCCCTCAGACGATCTCGGCCCGTTGTTGCCTTTGTGCCTGTGTGCTTTTCACGGCTGCGTGCTGCCGTTCCAGTGAAAGTCATTTTCCAAAGGCGCTCTTTACTCTGACGGCAGAGGGAGACGAGGAACCGGCAGACCCCATCCTGCCTCCGCCTTACTGCTGAGAGGATGGAGAGCAGAACCGGTCGGCCTTAACCGGAGCTGCTCAGCAGAAAACCGGCTGAACTCACAGCAACACATTGATCAACTGTGAAGGAGTGGAAACGGATACAAAGACGGTTTTTGGCTTTTACTGAATCCAAATCTGTCTGATATTAGCAGGTCACTCTGTAGGACTGTAATCTTTAAAAACTCAGGGAGCAATTTTGTGTATTTTTTAAAAACATGCAGCTGTGAAAAACATTAAATCTGACCTGAAGCAGAGAATATATTCATTAGTAGGCTCTACAGGCTGCCGGCTGTACAGGCTGCAAATAGTTACATTTTTTGAACAATTTTTTAGAAAAAGTTTAATTTTAGAAGTAATTTTACTCCAGTGGACTTTTTACTTTTATTTGAGTAATATTGTTCTTCATTATTTCTACTCTTTAGTCAAATTTCTGGATACTTTATTAGATACAAGCAACTTTTACGAAGAAAGAACAAACATTTTAACCAAATATGCGTGAGACACTGACTTCTTGGTTTTATACCAGCTTTATTTTCTGATGTTTTCTGTCTGCTGAGCTTGTTGGAGATTAATAAGATACAGTAAACATTACATATGGTCACTGGAGATACTTTACGGTATGGAACAGGATTAGGATCACAGGGAGAAATGAATTTCAAAGTCAGTAAGTGGCTCTTTTCTAACATGTACACATTATCTACTGTATTAATTTAATATAACAATTAATATTGAGGAAAAACTAGACCTATGTGAAGAAGTATTTCTTCTTCCTGAATGGTGTTTTCTTATATTTTTGTTAGATTTTGTCAGTTAGTGAAATCGTTTTAAAATATTAAATCAGATTTTATGATTCGTTACTCAGAACTTCAGTGACATTTTCACCACAAACATTTGTGAACCTTTTTTTTTTTTCTTTTTACCTGAACAAACGTATATTGAAGTAGAGTTTCTCTCACTTGGGTATTTTTGGCTGCTCTACTGTCTCTGCTGTTGAAGTAAAAGTTGAATGAAGGACTGAGAGCCAAGGAACCATCTGCTAATGATTTCATCATCCAGACAGCTGGAATATCATGTAAATGGAGGAGCATGGAAACAATAACTCCTGTCTGTGTGTGTGTGTGTGTGTGTGTGTGTGTGTGTGTGTGTGTGTGTGTGTGTGTATGCGCGCGCGCCGGAGCGTATTGTATGTGTGATGAGTGTCTCTTTGTTACGCTGTGCAGGCTGGCGTTCTCGCCGATACAATGCAACAATAGATCTGTGTGAAGCTTTGATCTAATGAGAGAGAGAGGGGCGACAGAGCGAAGTGGGAGATTGTTCAGCGAGAGAA